AGGGCATCATCGGCTTTCGCAGGGAAATTCTAGCAGCCACCCCCTAATTAAAAGGGGCTAATTTCGCCCCTGGCATCATGCCAATGTTCCCAATGTAAATCAACAGTAAAAAAGTGTACATGCCAAAGCCGTGTTTTTGGTTACCACTGGCTCTCGCGTAGAAAACCTAACCCTAAACTCCAAACTATTTAACACTTATGTTAAAATTAATTTAAGATTCTTACCTGTCAATTTACATGTTGGCAGAGGTTTACTCCATTGACCATTGTTTAAACACGTTGTCTCACTGGATCCAGATAATTCCCAGTGGTTATAACATGAAAACGTTCTCTTGGAACCGGGGATCACGCCTGATCCATTCACAACTGCTTTCCTAATTTTTGGGATGTCTGGACAATTCTTTGGTTGAGCTAAGTAAGAAAGTATATATATAGAACGATACCGTATTTGCTCGCTTAAGCGCGCCGCCCTTAATTAAGCGGCGCATATGAGATCAATAATATTAAAGATAGAAATATTATGGATTCGATACGGGAGATTTATTTTTTCGTAAAGCTTGGTCGTTATTAATTAACACAGTTCTTTACGTAGAAATATGGTGTTCAGCTGAAAAGTAGGCCTGGGCATATATAGTGTAAATGTTTTAGCCGTGAGTGCGATAGGATGATTTAAAATAGAAAGTGGAAAACAGCAATTATAGAAAAAATTATGACCGCGGCAGTCATTTAATTCTTTTGGGCCAGTAATCTTCATTTTTGAAGAGGCAAAATTGTTCTATTCAGCTCTGTGGGAAACGAATATACCTTCATGCATTTCAAACATTTAGGCATCACTGAGAAAAAATAATGAAATCCATACTTCATGGAGTTCGCAACTGCATCACTAAATATACATAGTATATCCATATTATTTCCATACTATATCCATAGTACGAAAATCGCAATTATGGTATGAAAATTGGATTTCCCTACTATTTCCAGCAAAGATCCATACTATATATTTCCATAGTAGGGATTTCGAAAAGAATCTCCAGTGAATTTGCCTACATTTGCGCTGTTCTATTTAATTATAAACTTTTATCATTTACACATTTACCAAGTTTTGATTAACTGAGAAGCAGGGTCTTTTTTAAGGCTGCTTTCCAGTCACGCGTTTTTCATACGTGCGTATGTACGCACGGAAAAGTTGAAATATCTTTAAATATTTTTTTGTGTGCATGTCATTTTGATGTTATGTGTACTCAGGTGAATATAATGTTTTTGATGTTACTCAGGTGTGTTCTCAGGTGAACATAATGTTTGATGTCAGATGTGTACTCAGGTGAATATAATGTTTTTGATGTTACTCTGATGTTACCCTGATGTTACTCTGATGTTACTCTGATGTTACTCTGATGTTACTCTGATGTTACCCTGATGCTACTCTGATGTTACTCTGATGTTACTCTGATGTTACTCTGATGTTACTCTGATGTTACTCTGAGTTCGATTCCCACCGCGTGGTCAAGCTAACTTTTCAGCCTACCCGGTGTGGATATACACTCAGAGTAACATAAAAAACAATATCTTTAAATGTTACTTATGAAATAACTGAATGAAGAAAAAGAAAGCATCTAGTTTTGTGAATGATTTATAATGTGCATTTGTACAGGTAATTCATACTAGTGTTAAATTGAAAAAGATTTAAACTTTTCAGTGCGTATAAAAACGCGTGACTGGAACGCATCCTTTAAGGATTTTCGCGTTGGAGGCACTTTGTTAAAGGAATCTCTCTCGTCTAGGTTTGGTAATCCTCATTTTCATTGCAAATGCGGCGAGGACGAAGGAACTGAGTGAAGGGAAACGACCTTTTGGTGTGATTGGGGTGGGAAGAGAAAAATAGAAGATATAGCTGTGCCTGTGGGAGTCAGTGGGCTTGAGAACACAGAACTAACTGCGAAGTTCTGCATGTATATATAGTTTTCAGGTAATAGACAACTTGCATGCATGTTAGACTAATTTTTGATTTAGGCAAAAAAAAGTAAATTCCCGTAAAGAACTTATTAAAATTAGTAAAATTGCAAAATTTGGTTACGAAATGTCGTATAAAATACAGAAAATATAGCCTTGCAAAGTTTGCATATTTTCAGTATGTTTGTATTACGTGCGGAAATTGTTACCATTTTTCAGCCGAAAATGGTAACAATTTCCGCGCGTAATACAAATATACTGAAAATATGCAAACTTCGCAAGGCCATATTTTCTGTCTTTTACAATATTTCGCAACCAAATTTTGCCATTTTACTAATTTCATTATGTTCTTTTTAACTGTTGTGTTTGATTCCATTCTCCCTAGTTAGATTAAAATTTAGTCTAACATGCAAGTTGTCCATTGTATTTCTCGCAATCCGCATGAGTTATTTGATTATCGTCTCTACATACATCAAGGGGCTCAAAGAGGGACTAGGCAGCATTTCCCCCACCCGGCCTTTATGTATAACGAAGACCCTGCTGAAAAGAGTACCATTAATTTTATCTATTGTACTGCAGTACAATTAATAAATCAGGAGTGGGACTTCGGAATAAATCTGAGCAAAAATATTCAAAATGGCTCCTCAACAGGAGCTAGTGTAATTTTTTTACTTTTCTTTTTAAATTTCAGTAGCTTTATAAAACACAATTCTAATACAGATATTTGGAAATGATCACAGTGAGTAACATCCAGCTGAAATAATGATTTTGGGTATTTTGGCAGGCATTGTGAGTAAAATTCGTACTTTTCATAGAAATAATAATACTAGTGATGTTCAATTTTTTTCCAAATTGCATGCAAATCGCCCGAGCGGCTCTCGCAATATTGGCAAAATTTTGTTGTTCCTCGATGATTGTTTTCGCCATCTCATTATTACTTATAAATATAGTATGTTTACCTTGTGTTGCTATCTCGGCAGAAGTTGTAGAAATTGTAGTAGACGGAATTTGAACTGAAAAATACAAATAAATCGACGGCATATTATATAGTCGCTCTAATAAAGTACGTCCTTACTCAAAATATCCTTACAGTTTTAATAAGGCAATATTTTTGTACAGAAGAAGTGGTCTGTTGTAAGAGGAGCGCTTTGAATCCATCGCAAAATTTTTTTGAGGCCAGTAGAAGAAAGATTGAACATGAAGTATTGAGAAAGTTAAGGAGCGCCATGTTTCTAACACAAAATTTTCACTGTATGTGTTTTCTTGATTTTTAAAAGATACATCGGTAATATAGAGTGTTCCCTCCAACAACTCGAATCTATAGGGACTAGGAAATTTTGAAATTGGTATTTTCAACACACTGGTAAATTTTTAAAATGGGTATTTACAACACAATGTTTTATTAGCATTTCTTAAAAAAGACAATGAATCATTTGAATACAAAACACATGACATAACATTCCCTAAAATATCAACCATCCCTTCTATAAATTCCATTTCTTGTCCAATGTTTGCCTATATTTTAGAGATAAAACACTTTGAATATGGCTGAGTAGGGGTCACCATTGGGGCTGGGGGATGCTTTACCGCCATTTATATAGTTAAAAAGGCCATGATTCCAAGAACAATGACTTTAAAACCGTGTTCACATATGCAAGCTAATTTGGTTTAGGCTGATTGGCTTAACTGGAATAACTTCTAAATTCCTTATTCTTCAAATGCTGCCGCACCTAATAAATTACTTTTAATTAATATATAGACAAACGTCACTCGTACTATTAATCCTTGATTATTATATTCGCCATCGCATGATTACTTATAAATATAGTATGTTTACCTTGTGTTGTTGTCTTGGTTGTGGCAGAAGTTGTAGAAATTGTAGTTGATGGAATTTGAACTGAAAAATACAAATAAATCGACGGCATATTATATAGTCGCTCTTATAAAGTATATCCTTACTCAGAATATCTTTACAGTTTTAATAAGGCAATATTTTTGTATAGAAGAAGTGGTCTTTCGTAAGAAGAGCGCTTTCCACCGCATAATTTGAGGCCAGTAGAAGAAAGATTGAACAAGTAGTGCATGAGAATTAAATTAAGTTACAAAATTTCTACTGTATGTTTTCTTGATTATTAAAAGATGGATCGGTTAGCATGTGTATTAAAATATTGCTAAAATTTTCTTGGTAAAATCAGCTTTGAAACTATAAAAATAGGGCAAAGAGTTGGAAAGACTTAAATAAAAGATTCAGAAGAGAATATGTAGTACATTCAAAAGGATATTTTTAATTTTTGTGAAATGGGCTAATTTTTTACTTGCATGTGAAAAACGAAATGGCTGTTTTATCTCATGCGAAACGTGATCGGTAATGCCATTTTACCATGCGTGCAAATTTACATTCTTAATTATTTGATAGCATGCCTTGATATTTAATATAATTACAAAATTTATAATTACAAAATATAGTAAGTTTACCTTGTGTTGTGGCCTGGGCTGTGGTGGACGTTGTTGAAATTGTAGTTGACGGAGTTTGAACTGCATGGAAAATAAACAAAATCAGCGGCATATTATATTGTCGCTCTATAATAAAGTATATTCTTACTCAGAATATCATTACAATTTTAATAGGGCACTATATAAAAAAGTGGTCTGTTGTACGACTGCCGGAGAGCGCGATCCAATGCATGGTATTTTTCAAAATTTCTGAAAAAAAATATTTATTGACATACATGTAAGCCTGATTATTTAACAGTTATTCTACGAACTCGAGTCGAATATGACCTGATCGCCTATATCATATTCGACGAGAGTGAGTGGAATAACTGTTTTATTATATACACAAGGTCTGCATGAATTCACAGACTTAGTTTGCTTTTCGGATATTTTCAGTATGTTTTATATACATTGTGTCCATATCACAAAGCTTTTCATGCAGGCATTTGTCCGTGAAACGAGAATTATACTGTGGCCTGAGGTGTGGCAGGCGTTGTTGAAATTGTGGTTTAACGGAATTTGAACTGAAAAGAAGAAGAATCATTGCGTTGAATTCCCAATGTACAACGGTTCACATATTTTTCGCAACGAGGGTGATTTAGTTGATTAGACGTTTGTGATCGGCTATAGCGAGTTCGCTCTATGCTCTGCTCAACCATCGACGATTTTCAGGCTTAAAGTGGCTATGCGACAATTTTTTTATGATTGAATTGCAAAGTTCATTTAACATCATAATGTAACTTGTTTTCTAAAACTTTGTACTCTTTCCTGTATGTCAAGATTTTCGACTTTGTTTGATATACAAATGTGACTTAAATTACGTCACACTGCATAATGCGTTAGTTACAGAAGACTGTGTTGTAGCTTGTTAAAATTCTCATTATCTCAAATTTACAGACTAAATGATCGCTTTGATAGCTCTTAAAGTATATCACTTTCAATGTCAGTGGAATTATTACATGTTTGGCAAGGAAACGTTTTCCTTCTAAAAACTCATTATGCAGTGTGGCGTCATTTAAGTCACATTTGTATATCAAACAAAGTCGTAAATCTTGACATACAGGGTTTTAGAAAACAAGTTACATTATTATTTTAAATGAACTTTGCAATTCAGTCATTAAAAAATTATCGCATAGCCACTTTAAAGATGATCTAAAGTGGGACCAAATGCCAACTGTATACTTTTTGCTCAAAGCAAAATTCCCAACATTTGTTTATAAATTTGGAAACATTTCTTCGTGAATCTTGTCCGGATCAATAAGAGTTTTCTTCTCCGAGAGATTTTAAAATAAACGTACGTCCAGAAATACATAAACTAAAACAAAAAGTTAAAGTTTAGCCGAGGATTAGCGCTAATCCTGATCCCACTAATGGCGAAATTCTTCGCAAGAAATTGTGTCTTCGAAATACACAAGGCTTATATAAAGGCCTTTGGGCTTTAAGGAGGACCTAAAGTCCTATTGTGTGATAGTAATATAGTCGATCAAAAATTCATCGACGTGCTCTTCCCACTCTAAAAATAGTAGTCACCAATAATAGAAGAACCATTTTTACAGAACGAATTAGCTTTGCAATATAAGTAATGTTTTCTTCAAAGCAAAACATGTATTATATTATACATTCATATAATTTTTATACTGATACAGGCAAATCGGTTACCTTGAAGTTTACATACTGGCTCCGAGGCATTCCATTGTCCAGTACTTGTACATCTGATCGCTTCTTCGCCTTCAAGCATGTAGTTCGGGTTACAAGTAAAACTTATTTTATCTCCTTCAATATGCAATCTACCTTTGCCAATTACCTTCCCGTTTTTAATGGAGGGTATTGGCCTGCAAATGGCTAAAAAGTTGAAAAAAATACGGTTAAAAGACATCAAAAATAGAATTGAATTCACTGCATGACCTACCCTAAAACTTGGACTACAGTGTAACAATATAATATAACACGCGTTAACCCTTTTCCAGGTTGATATTGACAGGCTTGAACAAGGTTGTGCTGCACCCTAAGAACAAGTTGTCAACAATGTTGTTACAGCATTATTACAACTGGACAAAACCTGTTCTAAAACTGAAACTCATTAAAATATAGTGGCAACCTGTATATCTGAAGTCCCATAGCAAACGACATTCGCTTTATCGCAAAACTAGATTGAACACGAGAGAGAGTATAGAATAGAGGACAACAAACTATGGAAATCACCTTTTGAAAGAACGAATCATAAAAACCAATTCTTTCGAAAAACTTATCATGCAGAGAACATGTTGATGTTAGGTATAGGTGACTTACCCAAAAGTCACCCATTAAATCGCGACGGGTAGCTGCAATGGACGGTGAAAAATAAGTATATCTACATACAAACCTCAGCAATTGAGAAAGTTTGCATTTTAAACATTTTAAAAAATAACCGAACTTATATCTAAATGTATACAAGAGAACAAATTTTATATATGTAATGAATTTTGATCATGTAACTTTATCATCTTTAATTTTAAGTGACTTTGGTTCGTATATAATTATTGCAGCTATGGATACCCCCGCATTATCTGATAATTGTCAACAGCATGTAGTAAAACACACTGACTACCGGAACACCGTAATTGTCAACAGCATGTAGTAAAACACACCGACTACCGGAATACCACCGGAACAACGGAATACCACCGGAATACCAGAGCACAATTTTTGGCAACATGGCGGAGGGCACAAAGTACGTTATTGAATCCAGACATGAATCCATTTGAAATTATGAATAATTTATATATGTACATCCCTATTACAGGAGAAACCCCTTTCTCGTTATTTCTTCGGACGAAAGCGAAAGGTATGGTAATTATCGTCGCTTGAACGAAGATGAAATAGATTCATCACAACTTAAATGTTACATCTTATGGAAATTGTTCTTAAAATACGTGTCCCACTGCACGGAGAAACATTGATATTGCCGGAAGCAAAGTTAATTTTTACATTTTACGTGCTATTATAAACAAAAACCTTACTATATTACGGCTCTTCATAATTTGCCCCATTTTGGATTTTGTTTAGCTGTCCCGTTGGTGTTCCGTTGTTCCGGTGGTGTTCCGGTAGTCAATGTTTTACTTACACGCCATTGTCATTGAATTTTGATCTTTCGTAACTTTATCATCTTTAATTTTAAACTTAAGTGACTTTGGTTCGTTTATAATTATTCCAGCTATGGATAGTGTGTATGAAACTCGAGTGATCGCTTCCATGGACTTCTAACCACAGTATGTCAAAGTTATGATGGGCTAGAAGCCCGGCAAACTTCAAAGCTCCAAACTGGAATACTTTTGTTTGATGTTGAACTGTATCTCACCGTTCACAAATCCTTTGTCTCAACTTCGTAAAATATTATTCATCGTGGTTACACGTTTCATCTCAGCTATACCTACTGGACGGTTGCTTAAAGTGCCTATGACATGAAATTTCACCCCAAATGTTTATGATTGCATTGTAAAGATAATTTAAAATAACTTAATAAGTTCTTTTATAGAATTTTGGTAACTTGCTTCCTTTGCAAGATATTCAACTTTGTTTCATATGCAAATATCACCGGTATGACATCACATCGCATAATGACATTTTGAAAACGCAATATTTTACCTTGATAAAATATTTTTACAAGCAAATACAGAGGGTTAATTACCAGTTATGAAATTAATACATATACAAGGGCAATTTTTAAGTTTTTTAGATACGTATTCGTCAAGAAAGCAATACGTTTCTGAAAACTCATTATGTGATGTGATGTCACACCGGTGATATTTGCATATGAAACAAAGTTGAATATCTTGAAAAGGGAGCAAGTTACCAAAATTCTATAAAAGAAATTATTAAGTCATTTTAAATGATCTTTACAATGCAACCATAAACCTTTGGGGTGAAATTTCGTGTCATAGGCACTTTAATTATATGAAAATACAATGAGCTCATGCAATCACCATATCAAAATAAACTCAAACACAAACATAATATAATGACTTCTGCTTAGTTTCCAGACCGTCATATCTTAACAAACCTTGAACATGCACATCTATCCAATGTTTTAATTAACAAACAAACCTAAACATTTTGGCAGTTTTTCTGACCATGTTCCATCATTACACAGTGCAAGGGATGAGCCAATCTGTTGATAACCAGCATTGCAAGAAAATATAGCGTGAGAGCCGTGTGTACGTTGTTTTCCGCCATTTATGTTACCGTTGGGTATTGCCGACAGAGGTGGACAAGAGGCTACAAGTGAATCAAATTTAATAAAATAAATTTAAAACCTGGAACATGTGGTGTATTGTAATTAGTGAGCTATTGCAATATGAAATTTGCTTGTTTTGTTTGAAAGAACTATTAAGCAAATATTCTTACAGCCACTGATCGTTATGAGCCTAAAATTTAGCTATTTTAAATAAAAAAATTAACATCTGTAATAATTGTTAGCATGTAGTTGGGAGGTAGATATATAGTGCTTTTGCGCAATTTGTAACCACTCAACTCTAGATATCCTTGTGCTGTTCACTTCCGGACCAAAACGAAAAGGCGTTCTGTTGTCTTCCGGTTACAGACAAGAAAACGTTTGTACTAAACGAAGCCGCGGTTTTGCCAGACACGAAGAAAGCCATAAAATTTTGTTTAACAGTGTGTAGAGGTATTCCTTAAAACTATTTCTAATGAATAAAATAACTAAGAGTGTGTGAATTCTATTTTGTTCACAACTATTAATTACGGGAGCTGGAATGCAAATTGTTTTAAAAATATTTTCGTTGTTTTTTTATCATTTTTGTTTTGTGGTATATGCTAAAACGATTATATTAACCTCTGTGTCGGTGAATAGTGCAGGATATTCATCATATCCTTGTACTATTTACCTCCACTTCAATAAATTATTGTTAATTATTTGTTCACCTATGTATATATAACATAGGAACAGTGTTTTACGTCTAACCCTGTGGACGTGTTTTACAAGATTACAAACACGAGAAAACGTTTTTTTGTATGTGTTATACAAAACAGACGTCGACGTGAATGTCGTCTCATACAGCTTGTGTTTCGTTTGTTGAAAACGTTTTTATTTTTCAACAACTTTGAAACTGTCTGTGAATGATTATATTTGGTGAAAAACATTAACTTAGATCGACTTGATTAAGCTAGTACATCAGGTACAGTATATGATATACCTTTCGTGTTTTCTTTATGAATTGTTAATGAGTATTGGAAAGAGGGGATTGACCCAGGAAAATTAACTTTATCCAAACAATTTCACTTCACAAGAAATCTTCGCAAGAGTGTGAATTGACTGTCGTATAGGCTCATAGCATTTGGACCAAACTTTGCAAATTATGGCCGATGAGATCTTTTTTACATCGTAATTCCTTAAAATTCTCAATCCAGCAGTGAATTTTGTTAGATAAAAAAATGTTCCAAATTATTTTGTTTATTTTCCAAATTTGGGGACCCCCCCCTTAAACTGGGGGCGCGGGGCAAATTTCCCCCTCTGCCCCTGGGGGAAACAGGATATTATAGACATTATGTTTAGGGCTACAAAAGGTAGAAATAGAATCCAAAGTACTTCTATTTGTTTCTCCATAGTTTGCTTGTTCGCTGAAGCCAATTTCACCTCCAGGGTATTGGATTACGAATTATTTAACCATGCTTTCCATGCAAGGGCCTTGCTGTAGTCTGTGCTGTACGTAGTTAAGACAAAATACAATTACTACAACTTTACGTTACAAAATAGTGGAAGCATAAAGGATTGTTATACAATTAAAGTTTCAGTGATCATAGTAGGAATTTTGCATAGGTAAATTCGCACGTTTTGAAGGATTTATAAGAAATATTTGAGGGAAGAGTCAATACGTATTTTTGAAGGAATTTAACACTGAGTCAGTTCCTTCAAACATTTCTTGCGAATCCTTCAAAACTTAGAATTTACTAAAGCAAAATCCCTACTGTGATCACAGAAACTTTGATAGTGTATAAGCCATGGTTTCTGCAGTTCTAGATTCCCTCAAACGGGGGAAGAATGGCAAAAATGTTGCTTGGAAAGTGCAGGAAGGGGGTAGAGTATAAAGTAACTACTCTGGTTATGACTCAATAGAAAAAGATCATGAACCAATTTCTGGAAATATTTTATGCTTACCATGGCCAGAAATTCAAGACATTTGCACTGAGCAAGTGCGAACTTTAAAAAACAAAATGGCCGAAACGCTACTACGGAATAATATAGGGAGCGCCATTTTTTGTAAATATAAGCCAGTTCAATCGCTGTTACAAAATTTGCCTCACTATTTTTGAAAATAACAGAACATTTGTAGTCAAATAAGATAAATATGTCATATTATTACCTCCTAGTACGTCTATTTCTTTACCCGTATCGCACAGATCTGGCTCCTATGAAGTCTATGAACTGTATACAATGTGCCAAATTTCCGCGAAAACGGCCAGTTTCGTTCAAAATTTTACGACCCGTTTCATTACTTGTCAAATTTGCCTCACTTCCCTCGTAAACTTCACATCATCAAGTATTCCGTCTGTTTTAAATACTTTTAATATTTTCGAAGTGATCTGATATATTTTAGACCGTCCATTTTTGCCGAGAAATGCAGTAAAAATTGACAAGTGAATTATCCACAAACGATAATTTTCATGTGAGCGAAGACGCGATAAACATGTAAAAACAACATCTATCCTTTTCATATGGCCGGCCATATTTGATATCAAAACGAAGTCCAGAATCTGGGCTTTCTATAAGCAAAGATGACTTATACTATGGGTTTCCATAAACGTTGAAAACCACGAAAATTAACTTATAGACACGACGCAATATACGCGAAGATAGGTTTATATCGACGTCTGATTAAAAAACGCGTCCGAGCCATGTTTTCTTTTGAATATATTGCGCCATTTTGGTATCAACAAGAAGCTCAGGAACCAGGCCTTTTAATACGGAAGGACAGGAGGGGAATTTGTGTATCCAGAGGGGAGAATGTGCTGTATTTGACCAAATATACGGCAAAGTATCTCGGATCTCCCTACTTACTAAGCGCATTAGATCATATTACAATGCTATTTTGCGCAATATAAAAACAAAGAAACATAAGAATCTTAGTTGTAATTTACGCACGAATGAGAGCCATAGCTTGAAGAAATGTCTCAGTGAATATGAGAACTATATAACTAGGTGTAAATATACTATTTTAAAACAATATCATTTGAATAATTTGAGCAATATTTCTGTCTGGCTTGGCGTGGCTTTGCTTAAATTAGAGTTATTAATTTAAATTAGTTAAACCAAGTACCCTTCAAAGACAAGTCGGGCGCGTGTCCAACGTTTCTCGCCTTGCTAAACAGGTCGGAGGGGCACCATTCCATGTTCCATCTGAACAGGTCAAGACGTTCCTTCCTCGCAGGTGATAGTCTGGATCACATTCAAATTTGATATTCTCGTTATGTCTAAAACCTCCTTTTGTGATTCTTGAATGAGCTGGTGCGCCGAGCTTTCTACATGGTGCTACGGACAGAAAAAAAAGAAGTCATTCATTAGTTATACTTGAAGGTTGATAGTGAAGATAAATTTGTTGGGTAATCATTTCTAGCTAAAGTAATTGAAAGATTGGGTAATATAACTTAGAAAGTGGAACCCCAGTCAACGGATCGGCCGAAAAACAGCCAAGGACGGGCCGAAAGAAAATTGACCGTATTAACGAGGTGGCAGTTTTAACTGGGTATCTTTATAAGAAAGTGTATTATTTTGGCGTTTTTCGAGGACAAAAATAAGTGGACGTAATAAAGAGATCACGGTATTAACGAGGTGGCCGTAAAGGCAAGTTTCATGCACTCTACCTTTTATTACAATCAAGCAAAGAAATAAATTTGTATTTGTGTACGTGCACCATGAACCATTCCGGTCGTTGGGATTCTTAACGCGATAGACCAGATCTGTTATACCTTTACACAATGGGATTATTCCTTTCCATTTTCCATTTTCACAAGTCAACTTCTTTGAAATTTCTAGATCAAGAACATAATCTCTCCGACAGACAAATTCCACTTCCTTGCCATTGTAGAACTCATTTCCTACCACTCTTGCATTTGTGCTTATTGACGGATTCGAACACTTTGCTATGAAGAAATTATGATATATTATTTCAAGATTTTTTGTGGCAATGCAGCGTGACGACGACGACGACGACGACGACGACGACGACGACGACGACGACGACGACGACGACGACGACGACGACGACGACGACGACGACGACGACGACGACGACGACGACGACGACGACGACGACGACGACGACGACGAC